CTTTATGATGACCCAATCTAAGAGTCATCGTTAAAGATAGTCTAATTTGTACACCGACCCGTTGGAGGCTAAATTTTAAACAGATAGTTCTATTTTCAGATTTAAACGTCATACCATCAAATTATAAAAAATTATATGGCACTTCACATATAAAAATAAAATTTTATGTTTAGTTTTCCTAAGTAGTAACAGTACAAAAAGCATGTCACACTTTTCTCAAAACATTTTCAATTGGTATTTTAATTGGGGATCAATATAAAAATTATATGACACTTCACAATATAAAAATTTATTTATATGTATTTTCCCTATGGCAATCACGTAAGTAGACTTTGTTATCGAAATGAACATTCGCGAACAAAAACTCGTTTGAGCTCGTTCGTGTTCGACAAAATCTCATTCATTTGTTAATCAATCTGAGTTCAAACAAAAAATTATGTCCGTTTAATAATTGAACAACTACGAGATCGTTTGCGAACGGTGAATAATGTTCACGAATATTAATTTATAATTATTTTTATATTTTTACATGATATTTTACAATAAAATCTAATATATACAAATATTTATATCTTATTTTTAATTTTCAAGTTCGAACAAACAAATTTCGAGTTAATCAAACATATTTAGAAAGTTTATGTTAGACATGGCCAAAACCCGAGCCTGACTCGGCTCGACGGGCTCGGAAAGGCTGACTCGAAACGGCATGGACCTAGGTTGTGTCGGGTCCATCGCTCGGCGGGCCAGGCCGGGGCCGACTCGGGTCTGGGCCCGTCCAATTAAAAAAGAATTCGAACACGAACGAACTCGAACTTTGACGAACAATTAAACGGACAAGCTCGAACATGATTTTTTGCTCGAAAAATAAACGAACGAACACGAACACGAGCTCAAAATGCCCAAGCTCGGCTCATTCAGTTCGATTATAGCATTACACACAAGATATTTCACACTTTTATCAAAACATCTTCAATTGGTATTTTAATAAGGGATCAATTCACCACACAACTTTAAAATCAACGGGGAAGCAAACCTCTTCTCCAGCCCTGCGCTACAATGCTATTCTAATCCAGAGTAGTGCGAAAAATTTGCTCCAATATTTCGCTCCATTTATGCACTAGTACGAAAATGTGAACAACATTGTGCTACATGTAGTATCATATTATTTACCGCGCTACAATTTTTTTCTTTAAAATATAAATTTTTAGTTGATTTTTATTTCTAAATACTATTTGGATAAAATATACATCAATAAAATTATTTATTTTGTTACATAATTTTAATTTTATAGTTGTATTTAAATTTTATTTTGTACTAATGTAAAATGTAATGCGAACGAGTGGAGAAGAAAGTTAATTCTTTTCTTCTCTACTCAGAATAAGATGGTCTTAAAACCTCTTCAATCTCATACTCTACTCTAGCGTAGAGTTTACGCTATTATAAAGTAGAGAATGTCAAAATTTAACTTTCGTCTTTAGTTGTTCGCGTTACATTTTACTCTACATGAAATATAATAATACAAAATAAACTTTAAATACAACTAAAAATAAAAAATTAAATTATTTAACAAAAAATTAATTCTATATATTTTATCAAAATAATATTTAGAAATAAAAATCAATTAAAAAACTAAAATTTGAAGAAAATAATTTGTAGCGAATAGTACCATGCTACATGCAACGCAATATTGTTCATATCTTCATAGTAGTACAAAAATGTAGCACAATATGAAAGAAAATTTTTCGCACTCCTCTCGAGTTGAGTGAAAATGTGAGGCACGACTACAGAAGATCTAAAACAAGCACACAAAGACCAAGCCCATTGGATATGTGAACTGTAAGCCAATTTATAAGCCCCTTTTTTTTTCACACACACACAAACAAAAGCGACCCAACCACATCACCGGCCGAACATATTATTAAGGTTAACACAGACGGGGGGCTATAATCCGACGACGGGTTTAGCCAGTGCAGGAGGTGTCCTCCGTGATCACCGGGGTTCGTGGATTTCCGGTTTCATTTTGAAAATCGGTCTTTGCCCTATTTTTGGGGCGGAGTTGTGGGGCTTGTACCACGGGCTTGCATTGGCATGGGATTTAGGGTTCCGGAAGATAATCGCGGAGGTGGATAATATCGGTATTTTAGCCTTGGTTCGACAAGCCATATGTAGTGGTCCGTATTGTGGTCTTATAAGGGGCATTACTGATTTGTTGGGCCGTGATTGGGAAGTCGAACTGAGACACGTCTATCGCGAGGCCAATTCTGTGGCGGGTTTTTTAGCGGCTGAGGCGGCCAACGGGCC